GACGGGGGGGGGGACACGCGGTGGCTCTTTTTTTCGCGCGGCGAGGGCTTTCAACCTACGCAGTCTACCGTCATGTTGGCGGCAGCTTGACGAGGCACCCGATAGAGCAAAAGCAGGGTGCTGTGTGCTTGTAGTCTAGATTCTACTGCTGTAGACCAGTCTAGACTAGAGTGTAGTTTTTTTCATGTGTTGGCACATGTATCTACTCAACATCGCCCACCGAGACTAAGTCACACGTTCGTCGCCGCAGGTTCCCTCGAACTACCAGCTGAAGACGATGCGATGCAGCTATGAAAATATTGAATTCTAAACTACTATAGTCTACAGCAGTACATTGTCTGGAACCAGTGCTGTACTCTACTTTCGTGTCTGGAACTACTGCTGTAGCCTACTTTAGACCAGAGCCAGCGGCAATTTCGGCATTTCTGAGAAGGAATGAGGGAGCACGGCCTCTATAGTCTACACTACAGCAGAACATGAGGAGACCAAAATTACGCGCAAGGGGGCAGAACTCTGCCTGATATTTTTCGTGTGACATATTTCGTGGTCTTTGCACAGCAGTCACGCGCGCAGTTTCTACTGCTGCCACACGTCTACTAGACTACTGCTGCTGTAGTCTACACTAGACTAGTCTACGAGCGAATCTTCACCTGTCGCGTCCGTGTTCTGCACGTGGTTGGCCTCCGGTTTGACCTCGTCGAGGAGAGCTGCCCATCTCTCGTAGAACTGCACCATGCGAGGCTCCTCGTCTTCGGTGATCCTGTTTGCCTCGTAGAAGCGGGTCGAGCGCTCCGCCACCCGTGGGTGCCTACGAAGGAAGCCCGCAAGCCATTTTTTCCCCGGACTCTTCTCTGGATCCCAAGGAATCCGCCGACCGTCGTTGCAGAGTCCTCGCACCGCATCTCTGAGGTGAACCCGATCCACAGCCAAGAAGTTGCGAGCCACAAACAGCAGAATATCTTCCAGCGAATCCTCCTCGTCATTGCTCAGGATGGTTTCGGGACCAACCTTCGCGTTCATGGCCACCTTGCCACGGCGGCGGTCTTCGATGGACGTACGACCTACCCCAAAGGCAGCAGGCTTCCTAACCGACATGCAATCATCTACGGTAATGCTAAATACGACACCGGTGTCGTAAATCCTTAACTACGACACCATCCGGATCTCAGCTCAGAGAGCTCCAAATGGCGTCAGACTAGGTTTGTCGGAACGTCACGGCTCTTAGCGATCACCCAAGCTTTGTTTGAACTCCAGGGGCCACGCGGTTGGGAATATATCATCGAGAAACGGGGTTCCNGCAGCAGGCTTCCTAACCGACATGCAATCATCTACGGTAATGCTAAATACGACACCGGTGTCGTAAATCCTTAACTACGACACCATCCGGATCTCAGCTCAGAGAGCTCCAAATGGCGTCAGACTAGGTTTGTCGGAACGTCACGGCTCTTAGCGATCACCCAAGCTTTGTTTGAACTCCAGGGGCCACGCGGTTGGGAATATATCATCGAGAAACGGGGTTCCGCATCACGACCTGGGTCCCTAGAAGTAGGCTCCAATTTCTCAGCCCACAGGCTTCCAATGAAGGTCAAATCAGGTTCGTTGCAACGCCATGGTCCTAGGCTATCACACAAGCTATGTTTCAACCCAATACGTGGATGCGGAGACATTGTTCAAAAGGGGGTTCCGCAGCATCATAGGCAGGGTACGCTCACGTATCCGATCATATCTCAGCCAGCAGGGCTCTAAAAAACGTCCAAGCAGTTTCGTTAGAATATCATCGCCCGTAGCTATCACTCAAGCTCTCGTTCAGCTCAATCCGCTACGTGGTTGCGGAGATATCGTCGGAAATGGGGTTCCGCAGCATCACAGGGAGGGTCCCCTCAGGCATCAGGCCAAATCTCAGCCCACAGGGCTTCAATCGTCGTAAAACTGACTTCGATAGGTAGCCACGGCCCGCAGCGATCGCGCAAGTACGTTGACATCTCATTCGACTCGGTGGTTCTGGAGTTACAGACTCAGGAAGGGACGCAGCAGTGTCGTGAGCTCGGTATAAACTTCCAAACGTGGTCTACGTCGTCGACCCAATGAGCGCACAGCAGCCCAGAACTACTCACGCTACCTTGCCACAACCCGCAGCTATCGTTAGAGCCGTCGATGACCTCAATCGGACCTGTGTCAGCCGAGATATAGGGTTACCCACGGGTTAACGGTGGTGCCGCAAGGTGGTGTCGTAGATAAGGTTGACTACGACATCACCACGGGTAGGTTCATAGTACAGCAGTAGAGTATGTTTAGTAGAGTATCGAGAATCTGTACTAACGGTTGAGTAGAGTATGAGAGAGGCGAATACTCTACTCACCTGAGTAGAGTACAGAGGCTAGGTACTAAACTCAAAGAGTATGTTTAGTAGAGTATCGAGAATCTGTACTAACGGTTGAGTAGAGTATGAGAGAGGCGAATACTCTACTCACCTGAGTAGAGTACAGAGGCTAGGTACTAAACTCAAAGAGTATGTTTAGTAGAGTATCGAGAATCTGTACTAACGGTTGAGTAGAGTATGAGAGAGGCGAATACTCTACTCACCTGAGTAGAGTACAGAGGCTAGGTACTAAACTCAAAGAGTATGTTTAGTAGAGTATGAAAAGCCGTACTAAACCGCAAGAGTATGTTGAGTAGAGTATGAGAGAGGCGAATACTCTACTCACCTGAGTAGAGTACAGAGGCTAGGTACTAAACTCAAAGAGTATGTTTAGTAGAGTATTGAAGAGCCGTACTTACAAAAGTTTTAGTAGAGTACGAAGAGCTGTACTAAACGCCGCAGTATTCTTAGTAGAGTATGAACCCCTGTACTAAACGCCACAGTATGTTTAGTACAGTATGAAGAGCTGTGCTAAACGCCACAGTATGTTTAGTACAGTATGAAGAGCTGTACTAAACGCCACAGTATGTTTCGTGCAGTATGGAGAGCCATAATAACGCCACAGTACGCTTAGTACAGTACATGTACTGACAATACTGACAGAACAACTACTCCGTACAAAGGCTGTACATGAAGGAGTCCTCGCGGGCGCCTTCCTGCTGGAAACCGGCCGGCACAACGAATGACGCGACAGCGTTCTTCGTAGCCTCCGGAACGTCGTACTCCCCTCCGCTAGCGCGGAAGACCGGTGGGGGACGCTTGACGTTCACTGACTGCTGTGGCGCTCCTCCACTCGTTGAGCCCGGCACGACGACCACCTCGTTGTCTTGTTGCGCGTCTTGTGTTGAAGAACCCGGTGCGAGGGTACTCGTACCGGGAGAACCACCCGCATCGGGAGCAGATGCGGCCGAACCACCGCTCGCGTCACTCATGCTCAGCTGCCACTCTCTCCCATGCGGGCCACTACCTCAGTACCCCAGTATCTGAGTACGCGAGCGCGCGAGTATCGGAGCCTGGAGCCCACCACCACTCTGTGCGGCGAGACTGTCTACTTTCTGCTGAATAGTGACGTCACCAACACACCCTTTGGTGGAAGGTAGTACGTACTCTGACGTTGAGTAGTACGTACTCTGAGTTGAGTATGGCGGGCTGTACTATGGCCTGAGTAGAGTATGGGCAGCCATACTAAACGCAACAATATGTTTAGTAGAGTATGAGAAGCTATACTAATGTGATAGTATAGTACACTATAGGAAGCCATACTAAACTCAAAGAGTATGTTTAGTAGAGTATGAAAAGCCGTACTAA